CATTCTTCTTGTCTGTAATTTTATACATCATGCTGGCCAGACACATCTGTTCTTATCGATACGGGGCGGAGGAACATGCATAAATATGCTGGTTGGATCGGTAAAACAGATACTAAGGTGTTAAGGGCTGATAATTAAATAAATTATATAAAAAATTATACAAAAATATAAAACAAAGAACAGATCTTTTGCATTTCCACCGCTCTTAAGAAATACAAAATCGAATCTAAATCAAATTTGAGTAAAAGTCACCAAATAGTCTAACACACAGACCTTAACCCCCAACTGCCACCACAAAACACACACATTCCCAGGCTGGACCCATATCCTTAACCCCCTTACGGCCCGCCTGTTTCTACCCCAAAAGAAGGAATACAAAATGCACAAAAGAAATGCGAAAAGTTTGCATAAATGTCCGCAAACATGTAACCCAGTCACTGTTGCCTTCATTTTGGGGAAGAGGGGTCTCCTCCCCCCGCTCCGGAAACCAAACCCTTAACCCCCCACCCCCCTATCATAAGCAACTCTTTTATTTTCCTTCTTTTCTTATTTTTTCCTGGCTACTGCTCATTGGCGTCTTCGGCGACTTTATAAAAATGTTTGCCATTCGGTTTGTTTGTTTGTCTATGGCTCGATTTGTTTGTCTGTCGGTGTACTGAGAAAAATTAATAATATCTGTGAGGTCATAGTCTTAGTTAAACTTAAAATATGACAAACTCTTTGAGGAAAAGAGACTTATGGTTATTATTAATTTGGAAATATATATAAAAGTCATGATAAACCGATAATTAGCCTTAATTATTAGACATTCTAATCAAAAGATTTTAGTTTTTCCTTTTTATAGATTCCTATATTTGAATTATATTTTTCTAGACATTTTCTTTAAGTGCACGACAGTGTGTGAGTGTGTGCTGTTGTTTGTTTGTTTGCCCGACTGCGTTTTGTGTCGTAAATTTAATGGCCAGTCGCAGTGGCAGAATCGAAAAGGAATCGAAACGAATTGAATGGCAAACTGGGAGCCATGCATAAAAAATTGCCAAAGCCAACGGGCGTGCGTGGGGTTAAAGGGGCTAGCAGCCAGGGGTTAACTTCGATTAGCCCGAAATGTTGTCATGGCCTGTGGTCGCACATATGTGCCGTCCTTCGAATCATTGTGAGGGGGTTTTGTATATACATATATGTTTGTATATGTAGTCATGGGCCAAGGCTCAAATAATAACCACCCACGACCCCTCTGATTTTCCCCAACGAACTTCTGCAGACGCAGGCAAAAAAAAAAATAATAAAAAACCAAAGGCAGAGAGAAGAAGTCAGCCAAGTTAGCCACTAAAAAAGGAAAAACAAGCTAAATTCCCTGGATGTACTTAGTTTAAGCAAAAATTATTCTAAAATATATTCTATTACTTTAAATTTTAAATGAATTAATAATATACGAGGTGTGTTCAAAAAGTAAGGTGACTCTTCAAATTTCGCGAATTTCAAATTTTTCGATTATCGAAACCTTTTAGAAGTTATACGAGGTGTGTTCAAAAAGTAAGGTGACTTTTCAAATTTCAAATTTTTCAAATTTTTCGATTATCTTCAGTTTTGGGAACAAGAAAAAGTCACATGGGGCCAAATCCGGTGAATATGGTGGCTGAGGCATTATTGTGGTGTTGTTTTTGGCCAAAAAATCCAAATCCTTTGATCCATATTTTTCGATAGCAAAAAATCGCCGAGCTCGCAAAACAACTTGTAACTTTACGCCTCTCACAACCAAACAAAAGAGGATGTTCCATTGAAACTTGGTACAGATGTTAGGGAAGAGTGTACCAATATAACAAAACAAAAAAATCGATAATCGAAAAATTTGAAATTCGCGAAATTTGAAGAGTCACCTTACTTTTTGAACACACCTCGTATATTTTAAACTTACCTGTACAGTCCTTGTTATATAATCATCGATTTGCTGATGTTAAATGCAGGTTCGAAGAGCAGGTTCCTAAGTCCAAGTTTCTGGTCTTTAGTCGTTTTACATTTTTTGGTTGGCAAAAGCGTCCTGCGAAATATTGGGCCATTGATCAAAATTGATACAATAATGGCGAAAATCCAACCCTCATGTGCGCGGCCCACCCACATTTTGCAGGCCAGTCCGGCGCTTTCCATCCATTTGCCACCACCCCTTTTTTTACCGCCTCCTCACATTTCATTCCATTTCATGGCGGAAAGGAAAGCAAATATCGCCATTGCCGTCCAACATGGCAACGGGCAAACGGACAACAGGACTTTCAATGTAGACTTTGCAGGATGGCTAGGAGGTGGTGGGTGGTGGGTGGCCAGCGGGCAGGACCTCGTCTACCATTGAAAGCCTTTTTTGATGGCTGCCCTGGATGCTAGTTGCTGGATGCTGGATGCTGGATGCTGTATGCTGCCGTTGTTCGGTTTGTTCAGTGTTGTTGGCTGTGGTGGTGGTCCTGGCAAAGGTAGCAGGCGGTTGCCAACGCGCCTTTGCTTGGAATGTCCGAAAGGACCAGGGGACCCGCTGCACTGTAAAGAAAAAAAGAATAATAGATAAGTAAAAACAAAATATTTTTAAGAGAATAACATTTTTGATAACTATAAGAATAAAATACATCATAAATATACAAACTTTTTAAATAACTTACCGTAAGATAAGAAAACAACTGTCCAGTTTTTTCTCGCAGTGCACATGTGAGTGTGATTTCGCTTCACATGCCTTGGCTTCGTAATGGCCACAGTTGTTGTTATGGCCAAAGTTCGTACGTGAGGGTCGAGTTGCAAATAGAGAGGGGAAGGATGCGAGATGGTTGGGCGGTTGGTGGCCTCCTCACAGGACATCAGCCATTCGCATTTGGTCCTTTCTGGTGGCCGTTAGCTGGTCGGGTCGTTTGTACATATTGCATCAAAGAAAACTTTTGCCTGGGTAAAAATAAAGCACACAACACGCAGTCGCAATGAAAATGGTAGGGAAAATGTGAGGAAAATAAGGGAAATGAGGAGGCGGTGGGCAAAAAGAAAACGGCTATGGCAACAATCGGACAGGGGACAACGCCAAAGGACATGGCCAAATACGTGTGTGCAAATTCTCATATGTATATTGTACATATATGTATATACCTTTATATATATATATATATTATATATAGTATATATAAAGCTGGGTGTATCCAAGCAAACAAGCTAGTACCTAGCCCGCCCCCTTTTCATTTTAACGCCCAACGTTTGTTGACGTTTATCAAGTCAAGGCGCGGAAATTGACACTGGCCGAGGCCGAGCTTAACAATCAACTCCCAACTCTCTCAAAGATACTTTTTCAGATGTTTCATTCATTCGACTAATTGATCATAACTAATAAGAATACTTTCTTATCTTAAAACCACAATTTGACCCATAGATCGCATAAAACAACTTCCAAGAACCACACACAACCGCACACCACCATCCACTCCAAAACCCCCTTGCTGCCCCACTCCTCTAAGCAGGCAATCAGAGTCCAGATTTTCATAGGCAGGCCAGCACATGAGGACCAGAGCTGATCTCTGCGACAAAATATTAGTTCTGTCAAAATAAATTTCTTTGAGTAATGTAATCCCATTTTGCGGTTTTCAGGTTTCAGGGAGTGGGTGAAGTATTCGGTTGATGGGGACAGGGGAGTTAGACTCATTTTTTTGCGGCCTCCCTTCCCGCTTTTTCACCCTCTTGGTCACATTTCGCATCAGGCTGAATATGAATGCGATAAATCTGTTCGTGATTGTTTTTTTTTTTGGTTCGCACACACACACATGTGTGCGAGCGGAGGTGTCCAAAAAAAAAATGTATAAAAAAATGGCAGAGGAATCCGCTAATCCTGGGAAAAAAGGAGGCGGAGTTTAGCCACTCGGTCTCAGTTTCAGTTTCATTTTCAGCCGAATGTAAATCTGAATCAGAATCTGCGGATTTGGCGGCAGCTTCAGCTGGCCTTTATTACACTATTTCCCAAACAGACCGCTAGGCTTGGAAAAAAATAAAGACACTTACAAAAATTACCTAGAAGTAGTGATTTTAGTTACTTTTTCGAAATTTTAAAAATGCTTTTTTACATTAAATTAAGTTATTAAGTTAATTTGAGAACTATTTTGTTAATGCAATTATATTAATTTAGTAATTAAATTATTTTTGTAGATCAAACCAAAAAGAATCGAAGTTTTAAAGGCTTGATCCTACATATTTCGAAAAATGGTTCCCAAAAGTAGACTATCTTAATTTTTCGTGATCCTGCAGGATACACCTAACGAATTGAAAATATTTTGTAGCATACTTTTGAATACCTTTTTAAAAGACTCCCTTTTTTGCTTCAAGTGCATCCTAAACCGCGAACTCAGTCGATTACGGACACATGTATGGTCGTTTCACGCACATGGGGACGTGACCAGGTGGGTGGATGGCCCCCCTACCACCTTCAATGGGTGGATGGTGTGGCTCTTGATTTGGTCGCTGGATGATGACAATGTCTTCTGACAGCTTCTGCTGCCGCCTGTGATTGCCAAAAATGCGACACGATGACGAGGACGAGAGATTGCAAAGCGAAAAAAAAAAAGAATAAACCATAATATATATGTGCATGTATAAAAAATGAAACCCTGAAATGTAATACACTCACACGCACCCCGATCCCACAGACATTGATGAGGCCAAATTTCTGTGATTCGTCATCTAAATAGGTTTTCCCTTTCCACCAACACACGCACACTGTGCGGGATTGCCACGCATTACGCACACACACACACACTGAGTAGCCGGGGAAAATTGTCCAATCTATGGGAAAAATGCTCCGCAGATGGGCAGGTTTTTTAAAAATAAACGGACTCACATTCTAAGTTTTTTTTTTATAAAATATTTAAGAAATTATTTTTTTACTTTAAACCAATTTTAGGGCTAAATTCCTAACTTAATGAATCCCAATTCAATCTTCAAGTAATGAATTTAAATTAAATTTTTAAATTAAATCAAAATTCTTGATATTTTCTCATTAGAGTTGGCTTTTTATTTATAATCTATTATAAACATAGTATTAATGCTCCATAATTGGCGGTAGTCAGGAGAGGAAAAAGAAGGACATAATGATTGTTAAACCTAAATGCATTGAATTGTATTGCAATCGAGTGGCTGCAGACAGACCAAGACAATATCGAATACGATGCGAATGTTGCGTAACCTCTAAGTATTGATTGATGCCGATACAAGATCCTTCGGCTATTGGATAGAACTTCGGGTGGGGGCTGTGGGTCAATCGGTACGGGATGGTGCTGGGTAACAGAGTGAAAGATGGCTGATAAAAACAACTGGAGCCAACTTGATCAGTTGAGCTTGGAACGCTTCTTAGCGATCGCATCCTCGACGGCACGCAGTTGCTTTAATAGCTCCTCGCGACGCGATTTTTTGCCATCTTTATCCTTGCCGCCATCCTTCTCCTTGTCCTTATCCTTATCTTTGTCCTTACTGTGTTCCTTCTCCTTGTCCTTGCCATTGCCGTGCTCCTTCTCCTTGTCAGAGTCGGCTGAGTTGTTGGGTGAGGCCAGCGCCGAAACACCCACCATGTTCGACGTTTTCTTAATCTCAATGGAAATAGGCGAACGCTTCTTGGTTGCTTGTTCAGCGGCTGTAGAAATTGATATTCAAATTTATTACTATGTAAATTTTCAGCCTTACGTATCTATTAAAGTATCATTCTTGTTTCACCAATGCATTCGTAATCAAACTAATTCTGTCAACTTAAAGAATGCTTTCCTATAACAGCTGTATTCCAAAGCTAAGCTTTGTGTGTCAATGATAATGAAATTTATAAAAGGAAAACAGTTGCTAAATAACAAACTAATTCTATCTGTAGTTTAGCTGTCTTTAACAGCTGTATTAGCAAATCTAAACTGTGTGTGTAAAACTAATGATATTTATATAGGAAAAAGGTTTTTCACTTAAGAAACACATTACATTAATAATGATTATCAAAGAAACAAAGCCGCATTTCATTTATTTTGCCTTATTTTTAATTCCTTTACCACGAATTACTTATTTTTTAATCCATCATTTCAAGTATTTTTGGCTGTTCAACAATTTTTAACATTTTTTCAATCAACAATTTCAACAATCCATTAAATTTCCTTTTCACTAAGATACTATGTTCGTATCTAATTTCATTTCTTCAAATTTCTGTCATTATCAATATCCTATTTGTGTCTTCCCAATTTATCCCAAAATATGAGTGTAATTATCATCCTTACGCTTCTTTATCAGCTTGCGCTCGTTCAGCGCCTTGTCGGTGGCTCTCACTCGCTTCTGGGGCGTGTCCCTTGATCCCGACGAGCTGTCCGACGACGATGAACCCGAATCCGATTCGGAGTACGAGGTATCCGATGAGTCTGCAAGGTGTTGCAATATAAATTAGTAAAAAGATGATAGATTAACTAATACTTCATTACCTGAGTCGGATGTACTGGAACTGCGCCGACGTCTCATCTTGTCGAACTTCTTGGGTACCGGCGACGAGAGCTTTTTCCGCTTGGAGGCAGGGCTGTGGCCAGCGCCGCGCTTATCCAAAACTGGACGCTTGTACGACGGCGAGAGGCTTCCTTCTATAAAGAGAAATATTAAGCATGTTAGCTAAAACCATGTTAATGAAATGGAGGAGGCACATGAAATACTTACTAGAAGAATGCCTAGGCCGTCGTGGTATCTGGCTGGGCGACCGGGCTGTCCGACCGCCATGCCGCCTGGAAGAAGCTGAGGTGCCTGCTAACTTGTGCGGACCACTTCCGTAGCGCCGTTTATGGTCCGAGGGACTGCTCGATCGCGACGAATCCGAACTGGAATCACTTTGCGAGCTGTTCGAAGTGGAGTACGACGAGTTACTGCTATAGCTTCGCCTGTCTCTTCGCCGGCGTTCGTCCCGATCGTAGGAACCGCGGCCAACCGATTTGGATCGCATCCAAGGATCACTCCACTCATCACCCCGTCCAGCGGCCTCCACACGCTGAACAATAACTTCTCGCGTTGGCCGTGATCTCCGATCGTCTTCATAATGCGGCATTCGATGGGGCGGCAGTTCGCGATATCTCGCCATCCTTCCGTACGCATCCACATCCTCGTACTGCGGTGGCATATACTGAGATCGTCCATAGCGATCCGGCGGCCCATAAACCGAGAACATTGGCAGGAGAGCACGGGGATTGGCATGGGGAGCGGCATGCGGATGCATGGACATCGGCATACTAAGCGGAGGCTGCTCCCGCGCAGAGGTCGATGGCGGTGGTGGCGATCGGGCGCTACTACCGCCACGGTCCTTGAGGTAATATGAATCCTTCTCCATTTCATCGGGCGACAGTGTTAAGTTCATTTTCTTGTCCTCAAAGTCCATGTCCTGCTCCTTGCGTTTGTTGGCCTTGCGCATCATTTCCTTGGCAGTGCGCAGTCCTCGTTCCCAGGCATTCTCCACTACCACAGGACCACCGTCGGGCAGCATGGCTCGAGTTTCGTGAGAATGGGCACCATAAATACTGGGCGCATGGAGGAGCGCTGGCCGATGATGCAGCGGTGGCCGGTCATTACGATAGTCATGATACTCGGCCGCCGATGAGGCATGCGAGCTATAGGCACTTGCTCCTGCCCGAGCGGAAGCGCTTGATGATGCCGCTGCAGAGGCACCAGCTCCCGCTGAGCCACCCTGCATGGGAACTGAACGTACCAGGCTATCGAACATTGTATAGTTGCCCTTGTCCGTGACGCCGGGATGCAGAAAGCGACAGCTCATGCCCCAGGTGCACTGGCCACGTGTATAGAATCGACACACCGGCTTTGGTTCAGTTTCCTCTGGTCGTTTTTCATCCTCGTCAGACACCTCACCCTCCTCCAGCTCATCTTCCTTTTTCCGCTTAACACTTGTTGCTGCTAACGATTTATCCTTGCCCTCTTCACCCTCTTCCAGACTGCCATTGCCTACGCTGTCCTTGCGTCTGTCCTTGTTAACGGCGTCGTCTTCATCTAAGTCCTCCACCTCGCCATCATCATCGTCGTCTTCATCGTCCGGCACCATAATAACATTCTTCTTAACCTTGTTTGTTTCGTTGGCTTTACTCTCCGACTGTGAATTCTTCACCGGCTCCGCACACTCGCCCTCCTCCGCCTCAAAATCTAAGGCGTCGTCGTCGTGCGTCTTCACCAAATCCTCTTCCAAAACAGATGCCGGCGTTCGGCCATTGGAGGCCTCGTCGGTCTGGAATAGGTAAAATAATTTAATAGTTTCTTGCTTTTGTGTGCTTAAATAAAATAAAATATCTTACTTTGGTTTCTTTGGAGGAAGCGATCTCTTCATCCCCGCTGGTCGCCTTGCCATTCTGCTTGGCCAGCTGCACCACATCATCCTCGCCTAGGGCGGTCAGTGAGTCATTAGAGATGGCACCGTCCTCATCATCATCCGCCGGATTCAACGAGTTCTTGGACGGTGGTCGCTTCTCATCCGCCTCAATGTCGCTAACATCGCTCAGATCCTCGTGGCTGATATTCAAATCGACAGCAGCTTGATTGTACATCTGGAGACTGTTGCTCCGACTCCGAGCAGAGGAGGGGAACGAGCTTGGTTGCGATTTGGCGCTGGGTGAGCCAGGCGGTTCCGATTTTGTAGGCGTAGCAGCAGTGGATTCGGGTTTCGTTTCGGGGGTGTCAATATTGATCTCGAGCGGCTCCTGGTGTTCTTGTTGCTCAGGCAATTGCACCGGCTCCTGCTCCTGATCCGGCTCTTGGTCGGGCTCGTCCTCGCTGGAAGAACCACTGGAGGAACTGCTCCCACTGGCACTGCCGCTACTGCTGCTCGAACTCTTCTTCTGCTTCTTCGACAGATCACTTCGACTCGAACTGGAACTGGAGTTGGACGATGAACTGCTGGTGGATGGAGCTCGTGTGGAATGATCCAAAATGGGAACATCACCGCCGCCGCCGCCACCGGATTCATCAGCCTGGTCTGGCTCCGGAACAATCTCGTCCTTATCGTTGATGGGCGAATTCGAACGAGATTCCGATGAATTGGACGGGGAACTGGTACGTGAATCGTCCGATTCCATGTCGAGGACCATGGGTTCGCCTTACGCCGATTCGGGCAACTAGTTCCTTGTCGTTTCTGGAGGAGATTTGAACGGATAACGAATTAGTTGAACTGGCATGGCTGCACCTATACTGAACACACTGGGAAAATCTTAGAAAATAAATAAACCACCACTTCTACAGTGAGGGAAATATATCCGGGCAAAAACTATTTGAGCAATTCGATCATTTTGTTGGAGGTTTCTGAAGACAATATAAAGGTCTGTGAAGCAGACAAGCTCAATCAGACAACGTTCATCAAAGTTTTATAAACAATAAATTGACCTATAAAGATTTTACTTTTTATGTAATACCACCTGTTGACCTGTGATTTTAAATTCGAGTTCAACTAAACTTCGATCCCTAATCGAACTTACTATTTAATAACTTTTGTAGAATCGATAGAAAAATCGAAACGATTGATTTTATGTAAATCGCGTTAATCTATACAATGAATATCTAAAAATTGGTAAAAGCAGATAAGGGATAACAGAAAATGGGACAATTTTAGCCAAAGTCAAGGTCAAAAGCCCCCAACAAATGCCGATGACTTTAAGACTGCTCTAATACCGCGATGGGGCATAAGAATCGATTTTTTTTAATAAGGGGAAAGTATTTATCGATAATTTTTGCTTTTAACTTTTAGTGGGGTTCTTACCTTCATTTCTTTTATTAGCATTTATCTTTTTAATTTATTGATTATTTTGTGTGTGTGTGTGCTACTTTTTTGTTGTAATTTTTCTTTATTTTTGTTTAATTTCTTTGACGCGAACGAAAGAGACAACAGAGAACGAGAGAGAGGGAGTGAGCAATTGGAAAATTTATTTTTCTCACGCTCTCTCCTACACACTCGTACACACAGTTAAGGACACGCACACACACACAGACGCACACACATAAAATAGTTAATTATTCGGATTTTTTGCGGACTTTTTCGCACTTTTCGCGACCGAAATTGAATTTTCTTACAAACTTTTACCACTTTTATTCACTTACTGACTTTTGTGTATAACTGTTAACTGGTTACTCTGTTACATTTTGGACTTAACTTTTTACTTTTCTTTTGAGTTTTGATTATTTTTTTTTTGGAGGGGAAAATAGAATACTTGAAAATATATCAATTTGTTGGTCTGGTTTTAGCAATAGGTCCGATTTGTTTTTGCTGCTTACCTATCTTTGAATCGTGTTGGTGGGAGTAGTAGCGCCGCTGCGCTGCCTCTGCCGACGTCAGTCAGCGCCGCGCTTTCCCCTTCTTTTTTGCTCGTCAACCACACTGGGAATCTGAGAGGCCGTTATCCCTGCAGCTTGGCGGCTAGTTTACCTGGAAGCTCTGTCTGGAAGTTTGCTTTAAGGGATTGCGAAAAGTCCTCTGGATTCGATTTAACTGAAGATATAACCACTATCCAGAAGAATATGTGTCCGCCGCAGAAAATATGGCGGCTATTCCATCCAGTGTGACCGTGCGTGGCGTGGCTGGAAATCTTGTTTGCTGAATGACCCTAAATAAAGTTAAAACGAGGTGATAGGTTTGAAACTTGGATAGCAGAAACATCTTGAAAGGGGTATTCTAAGGGGTTCAAGTACCCCTATTTCATATACTCACATTTCATAATTATATAAAAATATAAACTGTAAGCCTTAATACTATTTATGTATTGCGTATAAATTTGTCCCTACATTAAAAACCTCCACAATGCTTAAAATTGTTAACTCTTTTCGTCCAGAACTTTAGTTACGCAACTGGAAAATATTATAGGCCCCTTATCAACCACACCACTGTCTATTTAGTTTTTCCCGCCGGTGGCGTGTGTACACACTGGTGAACAGATGGAGCGCCTGACAAAATCCTTACGTTTATTTTCATTTCCCTCGGGAAAGGTTCTTCATCCTGCGACATGGCATCCTTTGAATTTAAAAAAGGAATACTCGACGGAATCACTGGAACCCGTGGAACTAAGTTTCGATGTTTACACGGGTGAGAATCAAGAAACAAGGCCACCATTGCTGACCTATCATGGCCTTTTTGGTTCCAAGCAGAATTGGCGGGGAATTAGCAAAGCTCTTGTGCGGAAAGTGCCCAGGAAGGTGGGTCATTATGTTCTCCATAATATTATTCTGTTAATATGAAAATATTTTTCTCCTTAGGTCTATGCAATAGATGTCCGTAATCATGGCGAGAGTCCCCATTCAAGTGTTCACAATTCGAGGGCAATGAGCGAAGATTTGCGTTTGATTCTGGAGCGGCAAAATCTACCCAAGGCTGCTTGCATGGGCCATAGCATGGGTGGCAGGTCCATGATGTATTTCGCTAGAAAATATGTAAGTTCTTAATGGGATTATATAGTTATATAACTGGGAGTACTAACCGATAGGGCTGGCAAGAATGCTTCTGATATTTAATATTCTCTAATCTATCAATAATTACTATCATCAGCCAGAGTTGGTGGAGCGTTTAATAGTGGTGGACATATCGCCTATAAGTGTACCTCGATCTACTGGTGAGATGACGGAAATCTTTGATGCGATGCTCTCCTTGGATCTATCGCCGAGTTTGTCCATGTCTGAGGGTCGAAAATTAGCCAGGGAGAAACTACTTAAAGCCACCGAAGACGCAACTGTGGACTTTATAATGCTGAACTTGCGTAAAGATCCCAATTCAGGCAAGTAAGTAAGCCACAGATTAAATAACTAATTTGTATAAACAATTTAAAGAAGTATTTCTATTTAGATTCTCATGGGCCTGCAATGCTCCGGTTCTACGAGATTTTCTCACCCGCTTTGATAATTACCAAAGATCGTTGGAGGAACTTCCGCCGTATACGGGACCCACCACTTTTATCTGCGGATCGCATTCACCCTACATGAGGTTGGCTCCACTTTCTGTAGCTCCTTAATGTTGGCAATTCTAAACAATATAATCTTTGCATGATTTCAGACGAGAGCAATGGCCGCAAATTACGGAAATGTTCCCCAATTCTGAGATCCATTGGCTGGAAGCTGGACACTTGGTGCACTTCGAGCAGCCGCAGGAGTTTTTAACATTAGTCAGCGAGTTCCTAAACAGATCTAATTAGATCACTAAATTAGCCAATTGTACAAAGGAGTCAATAATAGATAGACTTTAGCTAAATTTCAAGTGAATAGTGTTTTCTTTTTTGTTATTTGGTTTGTAAGATATTTGTATTGCACGATCGCTTAAGGATCTTCACCAAAAAGAGGAGGATAGCTATATACTTCAAACTAACCATAATCTGACTGATTTTTAAAGTTTTCCCCAACCAACAAGCACTTTCATTTCGAATGACCTCATCTAGCTTAATCCTTTACAAAAATATTCAAATTGTAGTGGTGTATGTACATTTAAAATGTAATTTAATTTATCATTCTTGTTTCGGCGTGTGATCTTTAGATTTTTTTCAGATTTCCATTTCCTATTCTCATCCTGTTTTTCTTTTGTTAAAAAATATACATACACAGATACGAAGAAAAAAATGCCATGAAGCTTATAGATCCCGTATGATCGTATCCTGCATACAAAAATTGACGGCAAGTTTTCGAAAATTTTCCAATTCGTTTGTTCTTTGGTTTCGTGTGTGTATACGTTCGTATTTATATATATATATATATGTATACATATATATGTTTCTTGTTGGGCATGTGTGAGTGTACTTACTTATTAGGAATAAATAAATGTGTATAAATACAGATATAAATCAGGGGAAATCACATTGCACTTAAAATTATATAGTCGAAGTTTAAATCATTGATAAATGAACACAGTCCGCGTGCTTCAATGTTTGTGTGTGTGTGTGTGTGTGTGTGTACAGGAGTCATTATCCTTGCTAAATACATCAAACAGGAATGGTGGGTAAAACTCTTGTGCTAAGGCTAAAATGGCTGTGATAATATTCCTCGATTTGATTCGATGTGTTGTGAGTGTGTGTTTCTTGACTTTCATTTTTTAGTTTGGTTTTTTTTTTCCTTTTTAGTTTGGAGTGGGTGTATCAAGTGTTTTGTGTGTGTGTGTGTGTGTGACAAGTCATTGATTTTGTCTCACAGCTTTTGTAGTTTTTAGTTCTTTAGTTATTAGTTTTGCTCTAGTTGCTGTTCAACTTTAGTTGGGTTTCCTAGACAATAATGCCGCCATCGTAGGCGTAGTCGGCTTTGTTGTGCATGACGAGTCGGTTTTCCACAAAGTAAAAGCTGTCCGAGCGCGTCTCAAATGGGCTCGATATCATCTCAGCCACTAAAATATATTACAAGTTCATTAAATTGGTAAGTACTTTGGTATAGTTTGATAATAAGGAAACCAGCTTAGAGCTACCCTTATTATAAAAACTTTTCTTACTAACAAAGAACTTTTCTTACTTCCTATTAAACTAACAAAAAAAACACTAAAAAAGATACCTTTAACTTTTGGCAGCCACTTGCATTTGGCTGCTGGCTGCGATTATGTAAAAAAGAAAATAGAGTTTGACTCACCTAGGTCGGGTGGAAGATTAGGAAACTCGTAGATGTGCTCGCACGTGTTCTTCGAATATGGAATGCAGTAGCCAAACTCAAAGTCGAAGGTCTTTAGCAGGCGATCACGGAAGAAGTGGCGTTCGATCATCCGGAAATTATTAACAGGCTGGCTGCCCACAGTGAATTCCACACTAAAATTTAAAAATTATTTTAAATATTGCATTGCTATAGAAATATACAGCTTAATACTCACGTGGCTCCAACTGTTTTGAGATTAAGAAATGCCGGTGTGAATTGATAGCGCACATAGCGTCCGGCATTCGGATCGGCAGTATCCTCCAGCGACAGTTCCTCTGCTGCCGCCAGCATAGTTTCCTCTACGGACAATCCATCTGGATATTGTTCGCTCGGCGGCTTGGCGATCTCGAAGAGCACAGCACCGCTCTCCAAATCACGTATCTTAAACCGCGTAAAGTCAATTTCGAACACATTTGCATTGGCAGAACAGAGATAATCGTCCGTGATCTTGGTCAAATGGAGTACCTCATCGGGACTCACGCTGGATGGTTCGGCGGCACGTTTCGCATCATTAGAGGTACCGCCGGATGCAACAGCTCCCGAGGATACACTATTGCCACCGGCATTTGCCTCCACTCCACTGCTGGATGAAGAGGATCCTGCCGCTGAGGACGAGGACGACGATGTGGCCACGGCAGCTGCATTAGAGGATTGCACGGTATTCAGTTGTTTGCCCACCACACTCATTTTTTCACAAGGAATCTGATATATATATTATATATATATATATATATGAATATGTATGGTTGCCTAGGGATCGGACTATGAAGCTGAACAGTTTCTGGTGGAGATTAAGGCTCCTGACTGGCTGGTCTGTAGCAGTGGTATCCCTTAATTTCAAGCTACTCCTGCGGCTCACTCTGCAAAAAGACGAAACATTAACAATTAAAGTAGATTCCTGGCTATCTTAACTTAAAATTTCACGAACTGAAGAAGCTAGGAATTAAATAAACAAATAAAATATATTACTAATTATTTTAAATGTTATTTTAATTAAAATATGTATTAAAATTTAGTACCTATACACGAATTATTACACAATCTAAAAAGAGAATAAAAATATATAAACCTAACAAAATGCAAACTAAAAAGTAATTAAAATATAATTGCGTTTTGTGAATTTGTTAAGGAAAATTTAATGCTTACCCACACAAATACACACGCGTAGAGCTGCCATAAATTGTGCCAGGATTATCTGGTGAAATATAAGGCTTCCTTTCGTTTTGCCAATTGGTTTTTTTTTTTTGCTATCCTTTTACTGTCCAGTCCTCACTCTTTTGAAAAATAACAGTTTAATAGAAAAAACCAAAAAAGTTATGGAAATAAAATAGTGCAAAACTCACCCACACAAATGCAAGTTGCGAGTGTTGCCATAACATTTAGCTGCCAGCAACAAAAACAACCATCGCAACAGCAACAACAACTAACGCAAAGATGACAGCAACAAATGCACGCACACACACTCTTGCACAACACAACAACAAATATTGAAATTCGTATGAAAATCACCTGCAACAACAACAACAAATGAAGCTTGGAAGGCGCGACCCAATTTCAGGGAAAGCTGCGCTCTCTTTCTCCCTTTTCTTCCTTTATTCTGTTTGCCTTTGTGTTTGTTTTTCCTTTTTTCGCTTCGTGTCCTTTGTAGTATTACCTTTGTATGTATGTATATATGTATTTATGATGTGAAGCTTAGTTTGTTTTGTTTTTGTTGTTGCTGCTCTACTGCTGTGGTGCCTGTTTAATTAGTTATCAATTTGACCGGCATGGCACTGTTGCTGTTGTTGTTTTATTTTAAAATTATTATTGTTGTTGTGTTCGCAATGCAACTCCAGTTAACGAATTTAAGCGTTAAACATTGCACCGTCTTTTTGCCCACTTCGTGCACCACTTGGCAATCGATGGCACTGCCGATAGTATATCGATGCTAACAAGTCTAACCGATAGCCCTACCGAACTTTACATGACCAGCGTTGCCACTCTCTAGTGATGACACATATTTTGCATACATATGTATGTTAAAATTCAAAAATATGTTAACAGTCAGTAACAGAAAAAATGTACGAGCCTCTAAAGTTTGTATTAGAGCGCACCATTTATTTAGTTTAAGTAATGAAATGCTAGTTTTTAATTATATAAATATTATTTTAGCATTCATTTTAAACAATTAAATAAAACCAAGGTATACTTTAAAATATAACTATATATACTTAAAACACTATTTTTTTTTGCTGCACAAAAGTAAAAAATATGTTAAATTTAAAATCGTCCGGTGTCCTTTTATATTATACCTTAAACTCCCAACGGATATACTTTTAAAGCGTGGAAATTTGTTGATTGGCGTGTCGATCGCTTCCCCAGCATTTTAGTGGTTGACAATTAGTTAATATGCAGTCTGCTTCTTATTTTTATTATTTTGAAGTGCTGTTGAGCGCCCTTTCGAGTAGTTTCCTTTTCTTTTCCCTAGGAAAAAGAAAAGCCTGTACCAAAACTCAAGTGTCCTATCCAGATCCGATTCCATACACATATGCACATATATGTATGAACATTAAAGTAGAGTACAGCGCACAACTGCACCGCACATACCGAACCCATTTCGATTTCCATATTCAGACGCACGGGCGCCAATGGCAGATCATGTTAATGCACCGTCAAAAATTTTACTGAATTGTTTTTACTTTTTATATAACTTGTTTTACATATATTTTAAGTACTCAACTAAAAGAACTATCAATTACAGATTCGAATTTAAATAACAAACAACCATGTCAAGTTCTCTAAAATATATTCCGTTTTACTATTTAATTGTTTACTTTATTCATATTATTACTTAGTTTTCTTTCTGTGTGATTCAAAACTACTTGAGTTCAATTCTAGCTCCTCTTTTTCACATTTTGCCTGCTTCTTGCTGCTGTTATTGTTGGCCTTAAGTGGGTATTTTAATATTCGCAGCCGGAGCCAAAAGAAGTGTTAAGTTTCAGGGGCCACATATGCATTTATCCCCTTATCCCCGTCCTCTGTCCTATGCCCCCGCCCTTGTATGCTTCTCCATTGGCGTCCGCGTTTCCTGTATTTTTTTTCTGTTTTTTTTTTTTCAGGTCTTATGTGTGTGTGCGTATCTGTGAGTGTATGGTGGAAGAGGGAACGTGTTGGACTCTATCTTTAGTACAGTTTGACTGGAGTTCTCCAAACTCCAAAGAAACCCCCTCTCGTTCTTCAATTAATTTATCCTCAAAACTCACTGAAATAATTCAGACAGACGGGCACCTGAGAAATATATCATCTGACCGGTCGAATGGAGAGATCCAAGGAATTTTTGGGATAATCCATCTTTTTGATTGGTGAAAACGCCAAACAGGATTCGGTTTCATTTCTTTCAAAGTTTTTTGAGATTCCGGATTTTCTAGAATAATTGTTTAATATTAATAACGATTGAATTATACAGTTAAATATGAAATAGCTTAAAATTTATAGTTAAAACTTTGAAGAAAACTTTAAATATCATATTTATGTATCTTCGTTGATTATCCCCTGAAAGAAACTATGTTTTGTATTAATATATAATTTCCAACTCTTTTAAACATACAGAAGTTGTAAAAGATTTTTTTTATAATATGTTTCCTTTTTTTTTAATTTTTGATTCCCGATATTTTAAAATCTATTATAGCCAATAAAACTTTTCAAAATTACAGCTGCGTGAATCTTATCAACCTTGATTTGCATGGATATTGCAAACATAATCTAACATTTGATTGTTAGTAAGAAGAATTTGTTTCGAATATGTATATATGTATGTACATAAATATGTATATGTTTCATGGGCTGATAAAAGGTGAGGGGGTTTTCTTTTTTGAATCATAGAACTCAAGTGCCCCCTGTGTACTTTTAATGTGTGAGTAGGAATGTGCCTGGGTATCGAAAACAAACAGTAAAACAACAACAACCAAAATCGTGGGCGATAAAAATCGTACTCGAGTGGGGGTAGCAGTGGGGGCGTTGTTAAGAGGGGGTTCTATCGATATTTCGTTTAATTCAATTATATTGATCCTCTATAAACTAACTATACTCTTTTATAGTTTTCTTGTATAATGTATTGCATACTTTCTGTAGCGGATAATTTGATTTGTAACCCCCTTTGAAAGTGACACCACTGTCACTGTTCCAAGTGCCGATGACGTTATGCGCGCCGGACGGTCTGGCAATGCAATGCACACTGCACTCACACTGGCACACCTTACACTCCACATCGAGTGGTCGTTTAGGCGAGTGTGTGTTTCTGGGGTTAACTGCGTGAGTGTATGTGTGTGTGTACATACTCTACAGAGCAACACCTCCCAAGCAGCGCGTTCAGTTCGTCAAAAGCGCCAACAACGACACGATGCATTGAACAAAATGTTATAAATATATGAAAGTCAAATTTATGTACTGCAGGAGTTTGTCTATCAAAATCAAATTCTTTTAATCAGTTTTCCATTTCTTTTGGGGGGAAAAGAATTACAATCTAAAATTTAGATTCGAAATACTAAATTTCAACCGAAAGTACACAGTTTATTATTTTCCCTATACTTAGCTACTACGAATATAAAGTTTTAGAGTGCATATGATGATTTGTTTTCAGTGCAACAGAAAGAAGAAGACGAGACGAAGCACAAGAGCCACAGAGCATAATCTAAATGGAATTTTGCTTTGCTTTGCGGTTCACTTTTTCGAGCGATTTCTCAACCAAACTACAGCAACAACAACGATCGGCAGCAACGTCGACAGAGACGCCTCCACTGGCCCCAACCCCCACCTCCTTTTTCATTCTTCCTCTTATTTTCTTCCAGTGCACGAGCGTGTGTGTATGAGAGTGCAGTGCCTGTGAGCATGTGTGAGTACGGATTTTTCTGGCGACAGACTGTCTGGCCTGACTCTGCCGACGCTTCTACCCGAGTCGCTGCCTCTGCCGGCTTCAACGCCTCTGCCGCCTCCGTCTCCGTTTGTTTGGTCTGCCTTTATATGGTGAAGTGTGCATCAAAGTATGTGTGCAAACACACCATAGGGCATTAAAATAGGACCCAAAAGAACCAATGTGCAATGTGCAATCTTTTTACCTTAAGAAAATTGGAATATTTAAAAAAATGTAATCGACGGTTCTTGATTAGAACACTGCTTAGGAGCAAAATTACATATATAGTTGGGTAATTTCTAATTATTCCTTTATTTGGTTGAAGAACTTGATATTTATGCTATTTTTGTGTTCCCATCTGTCTGTGCCTGTGGCTCTAAGAACGTAGGTCTGCAAATGTGTATGTCTGAACTTTACGTCCGTTCCGTTTGTCCATTTGTCCGGGCACGAATGTTTTGTTATTGCGGCGTTTTGTTATTGTTCCGTCGTGCTGATATGGATTCTCGATGGTTTTGTATTGGTGTTGGTGAGTGCATTGTTGTTGGAAGACGGTTGGAACTGTTTGTTGGATGTTTGTAGGTATCCCAAAAAGCAAAATACAAACCCAAAACCGAACGAAACACTCACAATCACACGTACAGTGGGCATTTCATACGTATAGAGCTTGAACTTTACCTTCTAAAAGGGTTGCTCTTGGTCCCTTTTGAAATTCTGACCTTCAGGAGGAAAAGGAAACCCGGTGTTCAAGCCTCAAAGTACTTAAATTGCCCGATTTTTTGTGATACTTCTGCTAGAATTTATTATGAGGATCGGACTTTACTGTACAATAGACTTTATCAACAAATAGAGCCAATGACAAAGAAAGCAGTTAGAAATACGAAAAACAGAAAAGATAGATAGATAGACTTAATTTAAAGGAGGTTTTATTTCCAAAAAAAACGAACCAACGAAAACGTATATAACATCTATTACCAATTATAATGACCCAAAAAATGCAACTGCACGTAAGAGCTTGAGAAACAAAAACACAAATCGTACATACATTCCGAAATAAATTATCTAAATACTCGTATATTCAAAATAATGCGCACATAATGTCTGTCCGCATGTAGGCCCTAAATGTTTATTTGTATGCTCTCTCAAGAAATAAACTTCTATTTTTCCAGCCCCCCATTCCACCCACCACCACCCACTGCCTGCTGCATTTGCAGCATGCTTTATGCCCCATATGTAGATTGTAAATGCGTCGTTATCAGACTCCAAATATTGGATTTACATAGATAGTTGACCCCAGTGCGCCCTATAAACAAACCACCATTTCGTAGCTCAGTTGGATGTTCTACGTACAGTAGGCACTAGAAGTGTGCTTAAGGAGTTGGGGTTTCACAAAATAGCAGGAGGTACTGGAAATTTTCGGCATCGAATGATATTCCCAAGAATGATATTATAGTACTGTATTTCTGTATCCTTTTTGATAAGTCAGATACAGAAGAACGCGGTTAAGGATAGGATGGGATAGGACAATAATTAACTAAGGATCATTGAAATAATTTGATCAATAGAATGTCTCAAATAAAGCAATATTATTTCAAGATCAAGGTGGTTAAAATTCTGATGATTTAAAGCAAAAAGACGAGTTTCACAGGCGACTACTATTAAATCCTCCCACCAACACAAAAGGCCACAAATCAAACCCAATTTATGGAAGTTCTTTAAAACCCTAAAAAACCATCCTGATTGAAGAGTCTTTCCTTCGTCACTAATGCGAAGGCCCGTTGACATGGGACTCTTGGGCACAAATCATTGGTGTAATATATGCAACATACATAGCATAGATCCCAAAACCGATTCTTATCTCCAAATCGTGCCTTTCTCCTTTTTTGGATAACCAAAAATGAGATCTTTTAGTTATAGATCCACCACGCAACACCTACAATATATCAATATATTTGTTTGAATATAACGCCCTCCGAACGGAATTCGAATTTGATTTATGACGCCCCATAGTTTTTCATTCCCATAATTA